AGGCATTTGGCATGTTTTGTAGGTTTCTGTTTTAACAAGACATTTTAATCCTTCCTGGATTCCTTGATATGGGATGAGCTGCAAAGTCAGATGACTCAATAGGTAAATCAGTGCCTGTATAATTATCCATCTCTGTGGGGTGTATGAATGGGTCTCTACCAGCAACTGAGGTAAAATTTCCTACTTTTATTTTAGAATAAAAAATGTTGACTTTATTGGGATGAAAAATTTCCCCTAAAAAGCCTCACAGTGCGGTCTTAAGCAGAATGACGCCCTCTGTAAATCCATGGTCTTAAAAGGGTGTCATTCTCCTTGGGAGTGTCATGCTAGAATGTATGAGCATTACCTCTGTGATATTTCACATCATTATTTCTTCAAAGGCTTCTGCTTCCTCCTCCTTAGATTAGTCATGTGGCCGATCCCATTCATTCAAGGATCATTTTGTGCAGGGCTCTACTGGTAGCAGGAGTCCTTTGCATATTAGGCCACACACCCCTAGTATAGCCAATCCTCCAAGAGCTTACAGTAGCCCCAGTAAGAAGAGCTCTGTAAGCTCTTGGAGGATGGCTACACTAGGGGGTGTGGCCTAATATGCAAAGGAGCTCCTGCTACCAGTTGAGTCCTGGTTTTGTGAATGGAACACTGAGTAACCAATCAAATCTTGCTAAGTGATGGCATTACTGAAGGTAAGAGAGCGGGGACAAATGAGGGCAATTTATGTGAACAAACTATCTTTGCAAAGGTACCATTAGGAAAAGGGAAGCATTTTTCAGCATTGCCAAAAATGTTCACACACACACACAAACCCTTTTATTAGTTTCAGCTCATCATTAGCTAATCATTAACTGTCTAACATTTATTGAAGTTCCTAGAAGGAATTAATCCTGAGATTACTGTATAACTTTTTCTTTTTTCCCATCAAGTCACAGCTGACTTAAAGTGACTCCATGGGGTTTTCAAGGCAACAGATGTTCAGAGGTGGTTTGCCATTGCCTGCCTCTGCGTCACAACCCTGATATTCCTTGCGGGTTTCCCTTCCGAATACTGACCATGGCTAACCCTGCTTAGCTTCTAAGATCTGATGAGATCGGGCTAACCTGAGCTATTCAGGTCTGGGCGTGTATACAATACAAATACTTTAATCCCTCATGTAGTCTTGAACCAACCAATGAAAAATGTTCATGTGCTTTCACCCACAGGACTAGGCAATGCTTAATAGTTAATCATAAATAAGCTTTCTGTGGGTTTAACTGTGCATGATCATGGCTAGGATGTTTAATTTCTTCTTTAAAATCAATGGGCTTAATCTTTCATGCATTTACACAGGCTTTCACCCGGACACTTGCTTTCATAATTCCAACTAAGGAGACAGGTTGTATGTATTGTGTGTATTCAGCTGTGAGGCAAAGATCTCTCTTGCTATTTATGAGAACAACTGATCATGGGGGACAAAGAAAATGCCAGTGGGGCATTTGTAATACAGATGAGCATTCTGGCCAGTGTCTGATGCAGCAGCCACTTCTGGCCAGTAGAGGAAGAAGAGTTGGTTTTTATACTTTTCTCTACCCTAAAAAGTCTCAAAGCGGCTTACAATCACATTCCCTCCCTTTGCCCACAGTAGTGGACAAATGTGGGGGAAATGCCACTTCTTAAGGATGGCATGAACTCTTCCTCAGCAGGACTTTAATTTATTCATTAAATTTTCTTAATTTTTAGGCTACCCTTCTTGCTGAGCCTCAAGGAGGATCGCACAATTAAAAAAAAAGAGTTGTTTTTATACCCCACTTTTCACTTCCTGAAGGAGTCTCAGAGCAGCTTACAATTGCCTTCCTATCCTTTCCCTCCAACAGGCACATTATTATTATTAGTATTATTATTATTCAGAGGTGGTTTGCCATTGCCTTTCTCTGCAGAGCCTTCCTTAGCAGTCTCCCTTCCAAATACAAACCCCAGGGGTCATTTCCTGTGGGAGCGCACAGGAGCGGAGCTCCGGCAGTAAGGAGCCCAGGGGGTGGGCACATGCAACAAGCCCCGCCCCCTGCTCCCAGCAGCCCTCAGTCGGGCCACGAGGAGCAAGAAGCAGCCAGGTAAGGCCCCCCCCCCCCCCCGGCCTGCCTTCAGGTACAAGTTCTCCCTTCTCTGTGATGACAGATCTGCGCGTTCCCCCCCACCCATAGCTAGCAATCCAAAACAGTCCAGTGGAGCCTGAGCGGTGGGTGTTGCCTTCTGACACACTTCCGGTGATGTCGGGGTGTGGTGTATGCAAATAAGTTATGCTAATGAGTTATGCTAATGAGCTCCTGCACCTCTTTTTCTATGAAATGACCCTTGACCAACCCTGTTCAAGATTTGATGAGATCGGGCTATACCATGCCACAAAACATAACCAAGCAACCAAACTGTCAGAAAGAAAAAGAATGCTGGCAGTTTTATTTACATCCATCAGGTACAAAGGGGAAAAAAGACAGCTTGTTGCCACAACCAGAACAGCTACAAAGGTTCCTTCCCTTCCCTTCCCCCTTCCTCTTGTTTACCACAACCCCTCAGCATTTTCATGTCAAGAAGCAGTCAGTTTGTGATGAATGACCCTCATCACAACAATCCCTGGAGATGCTGTTGTGCTCTGCTACTCCTTCCCCTAATCGATGGCTTCGATGCCTCCTAAGGAAGTCGGGGAGGCAAAGGTCCCAGTGAGATTCCCAATCAATACGGAGCATGACAGAACTCTACAGCCGGAAGCTGGAAATGGCTCCTCTCCCTTCCCAGTACCTGAAAAGCCCCTCACTGTAGATTCTCAGCAATCCCCCAGAAGGGCCATATGTCCTCTTTATTTTATTTCTTATTTGGAATAATAGATTAGAAGAGTAGATTGTAATATAACATAATGAATAGTACAATGTAATGTAAGTTGGAATGGTAGATTGGAATGTATTTCTCTGGTCTGGGGACAGAGGAGATAACTCTACACAGCCAATCGCCTCTCTTCAAAGAAGAAGATGCTGTAATGTCACCTCCATGCTGGAGAGGAGACAGATGGAACGCAATGGCAGGATCTCAGCTAATTACTCTTAAGGATATATTTGCCCATAATCTCCAATTCTGACATATTTATTTCCTTCACTATGTTCCCCCCCAATTAAATCCAAACAAATGGTAACCATATAAACTAAGCTTGTTATTCCTGTTTGGTCCTTGAACCTGTTAAATATCTTCATTATGCTGTATTCTAATTTATTGCTCACCTTTTCTCTACCTATATGTATGGACTGGTAACTTCCATTTCATTATATCTGAAGAAGTGTGCAAGTACACGAGAGCTTATACCTTTTTAAAAAAAAAACCAAACAATCGAGAGCTTATACCTTGAATAAAACTTTGTTTGTCTTAAAGGTAACACTGGACTCAAACTTTGTTCTGCTGCTTCAGACCAGCATGGCTACCCACCTGAAGCTGTGCTTTCTTGTCACCCACTCTAGGAAGGCTAGCCAGACAGCCCCCACAGCTTCCTCTTTGCTTTGCTGATTTTTTACTTGTGATTTCTTCTTGCAATGTCTTGACTGGAGCAATCCCCCCTAGTTATCCTGTCATTTAATTAATCCAAGCTGCAGGCCTCTTCACATGCTGGAATTTTAACATCTAAATGCAATTTCAGTGTTAAAAATAGTAGCAAACACATGTTTTCCATGAACAATCAGAAATGTGGCTGGCTTGCCATGTATGCAGATATTGCCATGAAAAATCCATGTTTGCCTTTCGAAATGTGTAATTCTGGCTGAAAAGAGTTAAGTTTGCATTACCCATTTTACCTATTACTAACAACCCATCCATCCCCTATTTTTGTAGAACTCCAAACAGGTAGTTCAATCTTAATTATTTTGTCATTTGAAATCCTTATTGTCATCCTTAACATACCTCCAGGTTGTGTTTTCAGGGAGGAAGAGGCACACTGCACACACTCAGAGGCATTTCTGGCTGTTACTTCATCTGTCTCAAGGCTGAACTAGAACATACCCAAGACATTTTGCCATCCAAAGGAGCCACACCCCATGAACAGAGGCGTACATCCCAGGACCCTTTGAGATAGCATGGAGGATGTCATTTTCATATCATGCACAGCTTTGATAAAATATATGTTTGATATAGGCATATACTCCCGGAAGATCTTGACTGACAGTGCACACACATACACCCCACAGACGAAGACTCCAAGGGTACCCTGTAGCATGACCCTCAAAGCAGGAATTCAGCCACGAACTCCAGTGGCCCACAATAGTTCTTATCAGTTGTGTTAGCCATGGCTGACCTGTCAGCATTAATGACCAATGGCCATCAACCCACTCACAGTTAAATTAACATAGGCTCACATGCAACATCTAGTTTGGCAGGACAAATGCCTTAAGTAAATATGTTAAATTTTATCTTGCCAAACCTACTATTTTACACATAGGTCGTCCCCCCCCCCTTCTAAAAGCTCTCAGTCATAGAGGGGAATGTTGTGAGAAGGAGAATTCTAAACAGGGGAAAGAACATCCACCTGCATTTATGCAAAGACATTGGAATTCTGCAGGCTTCCTTAGGAAAACTCCCACCCAAATCCTTAGCAGTTCTGAATTTAGCATTGGTGGCTTTCTAACCTGAAGTCAGGGGTGTCTATAAACTGAGATTTTTCCATGTTTAGAATTCATTTTTGTATTTCTGTTTTATCACAAGGTGACATGGCTGGGTGGTAACTCTTCTGTACCAGCTCTATTGATTGCCACAAGGAATTTTGCATTGAATTGTACATATCAAGGGTTTTTGGATTTGACTGTAGCTAAACAAAATCGTGCTATATCTACAGTATTTAGGGAGTTCACCATACTGGCTTCGATTTCAAGAGTAGGAGGGCAGGATTTGGTTTGTATCTGACAATACTGAATCTCTGGCAAAAGCTATTTATTATTCTATTTGAAACAAAAGGATCTGTGGGCTCAAAAAACACCACAACCAGCCACCTCAGGTTAAGCAACACCAGGCTCACAGTACCTGGGAGTTAGAGATGAGAGAAACAATTATGAAGGAGACACATAAATGAGGACGTTTTCTTCACATTGGTGACCGACATTAATGGCAACAACATACAAGACAACACTCACCCCCAGAGGTGACTTTCTGTCCACCTTTTGCTCCTGGCTCGTCACCAAATTTAGTTTACATACCTGTGCACTCCCTCCCCTGCTTCGACACGTTCCCACCACCCCTAAGTTAATTTGGGTTCCTTATCGGACACTACCAGTGCGGGGGGAAATGACAGAACTTGGGTTAAGGACTTGCCGCCATTTTGGGCGTTTCTAGTCATCCACTCCCACCCATTACCCCTCCCCCAAATGCTCACGCTTCTTCCAGCTTTCGCTTCCCCTAATGTCCCCCTCCCTCCCTGAAACACACAAGATGGCTTCACCAATCAGTTTCTTTACATTCACAAACAACGAAAGCAGAGGACAATCCCAACTCGTCAGTCAACGCTTTGTGCTGAGGCAGCCACCGCCATGACTGCCACCTGCCGCCATCCTTCCTTGGAGCTGTCAGTCCAAACTGTCTCTGGTCCCAGGGGCCTCTTTACCTTGAGGCCTCTTCCTTTAGTTCCTTGTTCTTCCGAACCTCCTCAGCATGTTTGTCCTGTGAAGGGAGATAGAAAAAGATGGGACCTCCTTAAGGACGTGTCCTCACTGCACGTTTAAACCAGTCTCAACTAGGGTTGCCAAATTAAAAATACCTACCGGCGGGGGAGCATCCATCCGCTCCGGGAGCCGTCCGGGAATGTGTGTGCGTGCGCGCTTTGCGCGCGCGCGCCGCTAGAGCATCACCGGAAGTGACGTCACACGCTGGGCGGGGCCACGCCATTTGAGGGGAAAACAAAGAGTTTTCCCCTCAAATGGCGTGGCCCCGCCCCCAGTGTGCGAGGTCACTTCCAGTGACGCGCACGCCGGGGCGGGGTTCCCCCCGGGTCCCGATTCCCCAGTGTCGGGGAACTGGGCCTCCGGGGCGGGGGATTTCCGCCCTACCGGGGGAGTTGGCAGCCCTAGTCTCAACCCTGTTTTAACTGTCATCATGGCTCCCAGTCATGATCCCACAAAACTGACTACTGATCTTGGTTGAGCTTTAGGAGGCTATTACATATTCAGATGAAAACACTTACCACTGAAAAGAGGTTATTACATATTCAGATGAAAACACTTATCACTGAAAAGGGATCCCTTTTGGCTTCCACCCATTGTGGCCTACTGAAACATTCTCCCCTTGTAGTTCAGTACAAACAGCTTGCCCCCCTCTTCACTATAGCAGGCAGCTTACTCACCTTCTCCTGCAGGCGTTCCAACATAGCAGCTAAATGGGCCTCTCGGTTCTCCTTGTTGGATTCCATTTTCTGGATCAGCCTCTCCTTGGCCATCTTGATGAAATTGTTGTTCTCTTCAATGGCTTTCTGGATGACTTCCCGCTCATGCTCCCGCTTTCCCGCCAGGTGCTTTAGGAGTTCCGCTTCCTGGTACTAAACCCACCAAACAATGTGGGGGGGGGGGGAACTATTAGTTGCTAGCAATGAAAGAAACTATTTAGAGGTCAGCCTCTGCAGTCTCAACTTTACTGGGCGGGGGGGAAATCCAGTCCAATGAATTCATGCCCTGCGTACAATCATCTCAGTCTCTACCTCCCATCCACCACACCCATGCCACTACCATTTTGAAGCCTAAAATGGGCGATTTAAAAACCCCGTGCCACAGCACAGCAGGATGAGGTACTCTTGTGCCAAAATAGCCACATGGGAGAAGTGTGAGAGGCTTCCTGACCTCCTCAGGCCTGCCATGCCACAAGGTGGGGGGCCACTACAGAGAAGGCACTTGTACAGGTGGCTTGACCATTTGCAGGGTGGCACTTTCAGAAGTCTTGTTGTTGTGGTGGACCATAGGAGGATAGATGGTCCTGCAGATATGAGGGTCCAAGGCCATGAAGAGCTTTATATGTGATTGCCAGTTCCTTGTTCTCTTCTGCACTAACTAGCAGCATTGCAGTAACCTTTAATAGCCTCGTTTATTTTTATTTATTTTTTTAATTTTTCTTTTATTGATAAAACACCAAAGTCCAACAACTGAAACATACATATCATAAATAGCCTCATTTATAAATAGTGGTAGTGTATTTTAAAGGAAATGGAGGAGGATTCCCATGTAAAGTACTTTAAAATTAGGGTTGCCAACCTCCAGATGAGGCCTAGAGATCTGGAATTAGAACTAGGGCTGCCAAATGCCCCCGGAGGGCGGATTCCCCCCCCCCGCTTTCGAGCCCCGCTTTCCGCTCCCGCGGAATCGGGGCCCGGGGAAACCCCACCCCCGCATGCGCGTCACCCGGAAGTGACGTCGCACGCTGGGGGCGGGGCCACGCCATTTGAGGGGAAAACAAAGAGTTTTCCCCTCAAATGGCGTGGCCCCGCCCCCAGCGTGCGACGTCACTTCCGGGTGACGCGCGCGCGCACGTTCCAGACACTGGCCGGGAGCCCCCCGCTCCCGGCCAAAACATATTTGGCAACCCTAATTAGAACTGATCTCCATATGACAAAGATCTGTTTCCCTGGAGAGAATGGCTGCTTTGGAGGGTGGATATGGCAATATATCCTGCTGAATTCCCTTCCCAGGTTCTACCCCCAAATCTCCAGGAATCCAGAACTGTTAACCCTAACATCCACGTACAATTTTAAACACAGCAAGTGGGATTAGTGCAATTTTTCAATTCACAGTGCTGACCAGAGTATTTTAAAATCTGTTTCCAAGTGAAAACCTATAGCCTTCTGCACAGTGGAGGGTTAACAGCGGATCAGGTTACCCTGGGATGAAGGAAAACTGAGCTGAAGACAGGAATTCATTCATCTTTCACATCCTGCCATTGTGGTTGGTAAGGCCCATTCATGCCCATCAAGGTCAGGTAGGGACAGCAATGAACGAGAGATTCCACCTAATGGCTGATCAATAATTCACATGCTGGCAAACCACACAAACTGGCTTGTTATGGGAATTTCCCTAGATCAGCACTTGGTGCCTCGTTTCACTTGAAAATGCTTTTCAAGCGGTATTGTATTTGGACTGCCTTAAAGTTTTTCCTAATCAGCCCTCCCCCCGCTGCCGACAAAGGATGTTGTTATGTTTAATGTGCAATACTGGGACAGGATCCTTTAACAGAAGCATCCTGCCAGGTTTTCTTAAGCGGATGCTGTTGTCACTGTACCAGTCCTAAGAGCCACCTAGCCAGAAAGGGGGGGAGGGTGTCGCACTGCCAACAACCTAGGGAGAAGTAAAAACTCCTGCCCCTTTAACAGAGGCTTAATGTGTGGAAATGGGCAGCTGAGGCTCTTCCGGGCAGAGAGACAAATAACATTCCATTAAGCTTCTATTAAAGGGGCAGGACATTTTTTTCTCCAGGTTGTTGGCAACACTAGGAGGGGTGTGTGTGTCAGGGGTGCAAGTTCTCAGAGATACTCCAGGCCTCTCCATTGAATTTGCAGGAATCATTTTTATTTAAAATAAAGTTTCTGTCCCTTTTTCTTGTGAAGGCGCAACATGAAGATGCTCAGGAACTATTCCACATAATGGGTCTATCAGAAGTTAAGCTGCACCCACCTTCCAACGTTTTCGCCAATCAGCACAAAGCATTGGAATTATTGACAAGCCTCCAATTTTTAACAATCTTAAATGTTATTAACATAACATTTTTGTGGTGTATTCAACTGTATGTAAACTCTGTCACTGAAACACCATGTGGAGCTTCGTCCTGGACAAGGATCCTAATCCCTCGCTTCCTACTGGTAGCCCAGGAAGAGCCGACCAATCACCACCATCCAGTTCCCTGAGAGGGAACGCCTGTGATTGGACTTTATTGTGACAATCTTATTGGTTGTTAATGTACAGTAAGGTGTGGCTACATTAGCCGGGTATGTTTAAAAGCAGGACAGCTGCAATGTAAAGGCTGTTCTGGCTATCAGATGTTGATCTGTGTTCGAGTTGTGTTCGAGTTAAAGAATAAAGTTGTGTTCTTGCTGAATCACTCTCCGACTGCTGTGTTAAGCGAGCAACTTAACAATTTTTCTCTCTCCTGGTCCTGGCAAACCCCCCCCCCCCCCAGTGACAAATTCTAGCCTATTGGGAGATCTGCTAAGAATACATATGCTTATGCAGTCAGTGCTAGTGAGGCAATCTCTCCTTTGTCTTACAACCTATACTAATCAGCAGGTAGACTTTTAAAAAATGAAATAAATTGCAGTGACTAGACTACGAAAGAAAGACCTGCCAAGATCTTTCTAGTGCTTTCTATCCTGCCCTTCATCCAAGGCCAGCAAATATCATCCACCCTTCCCTAATTATATTCTCACAACAACCCTATGAGGTAGGTTAGGCTGGGAGAATGTGACTGGCCCAGGGTTACCCAGTGAGCTTGGTGGCAGGATGGAGGCTTGAACCTGGGAGTCCTGGTCTACCCCTCTAACCGCTATAGCACACTGGCTTTAAGGAGCCAGCAAGTGCAGCCTATGGGTCCAATCCACAGCTCTGGCTTCCACTGATTCTGGCATGAGCTAAGTGCTTCACTTTTGCTGGATTGTGACCTATATGCAGAAATAGGTTCTGGGCTCCGCATCCTGATGTGATGTATTATGAACTATACGGGGGGCAAAAGACACTCAAGAAGTCTCCCTGAGCCTGCTCTGGCAGGGAGGGCAGGGTACAAATCAATCAATCAATGAAATGATGCAACACACACTTAAGAACGTGCATCACACTACAGCATTCTATGTTTTAGTGATCTATGCAAACATTTCTGCAGGATGTGTGATCTTTTAGCCATATGCACAGCTATGATGTGCTGTCTTCCACTGGTTCCCTCGTTCTCTAACCTGGAAGCATTTTGCCCACTGATATATATATTTAATACTGCCCAAGCACATTTACAATTTGAGAATGCATACCAGAACAGTCTCTGGCCAAGACTCTCCACCCCCAAAGTTAGCTGACCACTATGCATGATCTGAGAAATAAAACAGACATTAAACGTCTGTTTGCACATTTCACAAAGTCACAGTTCAGATATTACAGTACAGTATGCTATGCTTCGGCCAATGTAATCATAGTCTGAGGATACTACCCTTGCAATGCATGGTCTGGAACAAAATCTGTAACGCTGAATGTACATTTCGGATTGCAAGAGATTACAGCCATTGCCGTGATGACAATGCTGACCTGATGCTTTGCACATTAACATGGCTCAAACACAGATGAAATCTCTGGAAAGATAAAACAGGCCTAGCATTGGAGCCATCGCAAAGGTGCATTTCATTCATCCTTTTCCTGATATGTGAAGGCTGCAACAGATCTGGCAGTGTGGGAACCAGTGCGGTATAGTGGTTTGTGGGCTGGAGCAAGACCTGGAATATCTGGGTTTAGATCTCCACTTTTGCATGAAGATCACAGGGGGACGTTGACCCTGTCACTGTCTCTCTGCCTAAGCCTACTTCACAGGGCTGTTGTAAAAACAAAATGCAGCAGGAGAGAATAACGTGCATTGCCCTGATTCCCTTGGAGGAAGGGTAGGATAAAAATGCTCTAAATAAAATGGGACAGATCCCCTTCCTGTCCTTTTTGCATGACCAAACCCTTACCCTGAAACACCCTCCCCTCACTAGGTGCTGCTGATCTGGTTCTCACCTTACGCCGCTCCTCAGCAGCCTCCAGCTTCTTCTGGATCTCCTCCAGTGAAGGGTCACGTCGTCGGGGCAGGGAGGCATTGAATTCGGGGATTCCATCAAAGGACGGTGGCTTGAGGATGACTTCAAAGGACTGGCCCGAGGTACGCTTGTTGAGTTCGATGACCTCCATGTCAGAAATGACACACCAGGTGAGATCTACAGTGTCTACTGGGAGGAAAGGAGATGCTCAGATGTAGCTACTCTAGAAAAGAGTTGAAAAGTGATGGAAGGACCCTCTCAGTCTGCACAGAAATAATTCAGAGAGGGACCAGATTCAGTGCTGAACATCCTCCAGACATTTGGTACTATAATAAAGCTGGGCACCTTAAAGACAATCTCACCCCATGCAAACCAGCCAGAACATTAGGCTCTTCCTCACAGGCTTGGCTTGCTTTCACACATGTTGGACAATGCACTTTCAATGCACTGTAGCAACTGTTGGCAACAGGAATATCCACCTTCAAACAGTCGCCAAAGTGCATTGAAAGTGCATTATCCAACATGTGTGAAAGCAGACTTGGTTGCACATGGCCCCTTTTAGTGAGGCAAGGTAGATTGCCAAAAGGGACTGTGCTTACTTCTGTAGTGGCTCCTGACACGTGGAATTCCCTCTAATCCCTCTAATTGACAGCTTTCCTGTTCTATGCTGGGCTGCCCTTGAGGTTGACTCAGAAACTCCATCTGGTTCAAAATGCAGCGGTACATGTCCTTACAGGGGCACCTCTTAGAGCGCATATCCAACCAGTGCTCCACCAACTGCATTGGCTTCCAGTGGAATACCAAATCCAAGGTTTTGGTATTAAACTTCAAAGCCCTGAGCAGTCTGGGACCTACATATCTACAGGACCGCCTCTCCCACTATGTCCCTTGAAGAGTGTTATGCTCATCTGAACAGCTGCTGGAGGTCCCCCGACCCTAAGTTCATCCATTTAGCCTTGACCACAGCCAGAGTCTTTTCGGCTCTGACTCTGGCCTGGTGGAACACTCTCCCAAGTGAGATCAGGGCCCTGTGGGATCTGCTTCAATTCTGCAGGGCCTGTAAGATGAAGATGTTCTGCCAGGCCTTTGGTTGAGGTGACGGGCATCTTATCATTCAGGCCTTGCCTACTCCACCCCCCCACCCCCAACTTAGCTTATCCAGTATTGGGTTGGGGGTTGCCCACTGCCCTTTTTAAATCTTGGGCATTTATAGACCTACGAGCCATTTTATTTATTTATTATTTATTTGTCTCATCTATACCTATGAGCCATCTTGGTATCTTAAATTATTGACCTGCAGAATGTTTTTATTGTTTTATCTGCATTTTTAATCGTGAGCTGCCCTGAGCCCTGCGTGCAGGGAAGGGCGGGATAAAAATCCAAACAATAAATAAATACATGCATTTCAGCTATCTGACAATGAATGTTTCTCTCTAGAGTACTCTCATCATTGAACTAGCAGGTTTTGTTATCTGTGTTTAAACTGCTTGCTTTCGCATCTGCTGCTGAATGTTATGGTTTCACCTGATGTAGCTGTTATACTTTTTCATGGTTTTTCAAGAGCCTGCTCCCACCCTTTCTCCCACCTGCAGGGGGAAAAAAGGCAAGGCGAGAACGTTTTTATCTTCCTCCTCCTTTATTAGCTCAACAAAGAAGTGACACTGTTAGGAGGGTGTCAAGGCAGTGGTGGCTTTCTTCTTGACAGAACCATGGGGGAAAAGAGAGAGGGAAGAGGGTCATTCAGCCATAGATGCCTGTAGCAGCTGTTAGAACTAACCCCCACTCAGGGGTCATTTCCTGCAGGAGCGTACAGGAGTGGAGCTCCGGCAGTAAAGAGCCCAGGGGGCTGGCACATGCAACAAGCCCCACCCCCTGCTCCCAGCAGCCCTCAGAGCAAGAAGCAGCCAGGTAAGTTGCAGAGGTCCCCCTGGTCCAAAACAGTCCAGTGGCACCTTTGAGACCAAGTTTTATTCAGGTACAAGCTCTCCCTCCTCTGTGAGGACAGATCTGCACGTCCCCCCCCCATAGCTAGCAATCCAAAACAGTCCAGTGGAGCCTGAGCGGTGGGCGTTGCCTCCTGACACACTTCCGGTGATGTCAGGGGGTGTGGCATATGCAAATAAGTTATGCTAATGAGTTAAGCTAATGATCTCCTGCACCTCCTTTTCTACGAAATGACCCCGGCCCCCACTACAGGTGTGTGCCTCATTTAGAAGCAAATGAATGAATTAGACCTCATTCTGAAATCTGTTGAAGACAAGACTAGTTGCATTAGTCACCACCAGATGGTACCTTGACCACGGATTAGCACAAGCTTTGATGACAACAGGCATCTCCCATGTTATCTGCATTGGAAGTGAAGGACTATACAATGCCTTCTTGTACTGAGTAATGCCGGTACTGCAGAGAGGGCAGTAGAGCCAGTAAGGCGGATAGGTCAGTTTCCTCTGTGTCCTTCCTCTTGCCTGTTCTGCAGCTGTCTCTCTGTTTACCCAGAATGCTATTGTCAAGGACTTCCTCACAGCTATCTCCCTCTCTTCACACTTCTTCATCTTACCTCCATGAGGGCAAAGTGTGCTCTTAGCATCCTTCTCCATCCTACCTTAGGCAGATCGCCTATCCGTCCTTGCTATCATAAAATGGAGTTGATTAACACTAAAGGAATCCAATTTTTTTGCCCCTAAAGCAACAAGCCTTATGTGGGATTTATTCCTAAAGCAACATCCCCCTTCTGCTGAGCAAACCAGCTCTAGAGCTCTCAATTTGCAAGGTCTGGGTGTGTCTGCATGGCATCTGGAACAGAACTGCAGCAACTTGCAAACAGGCATGATGGAAATCAGCCGATGGTTTGTGGAAATATTCACAGAGAAAAGAGGCTGAGCAAATTGTATTGGACCAGCAGCAGCCCCAAGTCATCAAACATCTCATATGCTTGTCCACCTACCTTCATATTTGTAAGACGGTTTGTTTAAGTGATCTGAGAGGAAGCACGAGCAGAAGAGAGACACCAGGGGGAGCTCCTTCATTTTTTCTTTATATGCTGTAAGAAGACATCACCAAGGAAAGTTGTAACTCCATCAATAAAAAAGACTCCAAATCCTCCTTGCCAGCAACCCACATCTTTAAACCCTACACTACCAAAGGGCTTACCCTCCCAGACTAAGGCACAACCCCCCAAAGGATTCGTACTTCTACAGGGTACGTATTTTCCCTGTGTTGCTATTTCTTGGGTGAATCAGGAGATTATGGGTTTGTGCTGTAGGTAGAGAAATGGAAGCACTCAATGGTTGCTTAGCAACCAAAGGAATAAGTGCTTCCTTTATAGGGGAATGCTAGTGGGTACTTCCTTTGTTAGGGTTGCCAACCTCCAGGTGGGGCCTGGATATCAGAATTACAATCAATCTCCAGACCACAGAGATCAGTTCTCCTGGAGAAAACGTCTGCTTTGGAGGGTGGGCTCTATGGCATTATATCCCAATGAGGTCTCTCCCTTCCCCAAACCCCACCCTCCCCAGATTCAGTCCCCCAAATCTCCAGGTATTTCCCAACCTGGAACTGGTAATCCTATTCTTCTTGCTCCCCTCTTTATCTTGCAAGAGATGCTCATACGGAATCTTGAGTGTCCCTCAAGGGGTAAGAGGCCCTCAATTTGACCTTACTTTTGAAAATTGAATTCTTTGGTCAAATTACAACAGATACAGAGGAATGAAGGGATTTGGACATATCCTCCTGTCTAAACAGGTCCCGGTTTCCATATCCAGATCACAGTAATACTGGGACCCGCCATGAGAAAGGAAGAGGAAACAGTAGCCTGTCTTTCCCCCGAACAATTCCCGTTTTCTTGCAGAAATAAGGACCAGGCATGGAAAGCTATTCTCTCTATCCAGATCACAGTAATACTGGGACCCGCCATGAGAAAGGAAGAGGAAACAGTAGCCTGTCTTTCCCCCGAACAATTCCCGTTTTCTTGCAGAAATAAGGACCAGGCATGGAAAGCTATTCTCTCTACTTGACAATGGAGCAAAAGCCATTGGCATGAATCCCTAGTTTTGGGATCAGGTTCACACATGAGCCGTGTGCCAGTTTCTTGGCTGTAGCAGCTAGCAGGGTTACAGGGTGAAGTGTATGTGTCTCTTTGTTTATCTAGTTAGTAATCTGATCCTGTTTCCATACCAGCTAGTGTCATGATGCGTAATGTTCTGGGCCTCCTGCAGAATGGGTAGGTGGGTGAGGATCGTGTCCAGCAGATAAGCTCCTTGAAAACTCTAGAAACAAAGAAACAAAATGGAAAAAGCATGTTTGACTAGGTCAGGATTTGTACTTGGACTGTGCTGCGGTCTTCCAAATCCAGCAATTCACGGCAAGATCATAATTAACCCACTACATTCTGGTTCAATCCATCTTTTCTATTTAATTATTTACAGTATTTATATCCTATTTCCCCCCTCGCTATGTGTAAAGTGGAACATCCCCCAACTGGCTTAACATAAGGGCTAATTAATATATGGGTTTTCCCCCTAATCTGTTGGGAAGCCATGCCATTCATTTCAGAGGTACCAAAGTAGATCTGAATAGGAAATGGGACACATCATATTCTTTCCATGTGCTCTGAGGCACTGTTCATCATTTGCTCACGTGCTCTGGGGCTGATTCCTGGGAATCTTATACTGTTCTAGTGATATAAAAATATGGATACGAGCACCTGTAGCCAAGCCAGGCATCTTTGCTCTATTCAACCACAATCAAAACTTTGAAGAGTTGTAAATGGCACTCCAACCGTGGTGGTATGTACACATTGGTTGGCCAGAATCAGCACGTGGACCTAACAGGCACCAAGTCTCTAATGACACCAGTGTGAACAAAAAAAAAAAAAAAGGGCCTCTCAGTAAAGGAGGAAAAACAAAGCCTAAAGAATAGAAACTATTCAGCCCCATACACAATGGGATGCAACTGCCCAGTTAAGCAGAGAAGTGATTCATTGTGTTCTAAAAAAACCAGGGGGCATTTGGGGGCAAGGGGTCTGCAAAACAATCCAAACCAGTGGGACCAAAATGTCTTAGGGGTATGGGGGACACAGCAAGGATTATCAAGATAAGGCAAAAACTTGGCCAACAGTTCCTTCATTGGACAGAACAGCCCAGGAGCACAAATCCTACTAGAGCAGACCAAAGACCCAGAGGTCATTTCAGGGGGGATCGCGGGGGATCGCAGTCCCCCCGGGTGAGGTACGGGGGGCGGGGCACATGACAAAGCCCTGCCCCCCGCTTCCGGCCGCCCCGCTTCTGGCCCTCATTCAGCCAGGAGGAGGCAGGAGAAGAGGGAGGGTAAGTTGCTTCCTCCCTGCCTCTCCCCACCCCTGCCTGCCTGGGGCCAGGGAGGGCCTTCCAGGGCTTCCTTGCACTCCTGCTGGCCTTGCAGGTCCACCGCTGGGCCCCTCATGGGGCTCGGCAGTGGAGCTGCAAGGCCGGTGGCTGCGGCTGGGACCGTTGGGGGCGGGGTGTGTGGCCTTATGACACACTTCCGGTGATGTCGGGGGGTGTGGCCTTATGACACACTTCTGGTGATGTCAGGCGGTGTGGCATATGCTAATGAGTTATGCTAATGAGTTCCCCTAGCTCTTTTTCTACGAAACGACCCCTGCAAAGACCCATCTACTCCAGGCATCCTTTTCAAATGGTGGACACCAAGATAGCTCTATGAAACTCAGAAGCAGAACACAAGGGCAGCACCTGTCCCCATCACGTATTTTCCAGCATGGCCTCTGAACCTGGAGGTTTCGTGTATTTATCATCTATCTACCATCTATCTAGCACTTATCTGTCATATTCATAGATTTACTAGGGGAAAATGAAAGAATGTTATGAAGTAACAAAGAATTGCTGGACATATCCTTAGTTAGAAGAAGCGGACATTCCTTAAGAACATATATATCCAAACCCCTCACTCTGTTCACGATACCACATTCTCCCTTCTGTACACTGAAATTTGGTATACAGCACTTGAGCAAGACACACGAACACCGGAAGCTGCCACAGACTGTGTCAGACCATACATCTATCAAGATTGGTATTGTCTGCTCTGTGAGCAGCAGAGATCTTTCACATCACCTGCTGCCTGGCCCTTTCAGCTGCCGCTTTAGCTGCTTTGAATCCTGTTGGATAAAGGGTGGGGGGAGGAGTACATTATTTTCAATAAATAAATTACTGATGCTGGAGATCAAACCTGGGCCCTTCTGCATGCAAGGTTAGAGCTCTGCCACGGAGTCACAGCCCGTTACCTTAAGAACTCATTGTCCCAGGTTAAGAATCCAGGCTCTGCTGGTTATGCCGGGGAATGAACCTGGGACCTTTTTGCATGCAAGCCCCTCCCCCTTAAGAACAAACTGCCCCAGGGTTAAGAACCCAGGCTCTGGCGGGTAATGCCAGAGACTGAACCTGGGTCCTTCTGTATATGAGGCTGATGCTCTGCTATGGCATCCCCCCCCCAAAAAAAAAGGGTTGGGTTCAATGTTCCCTCTAAGCTGTGGAGTCTTGTGAGCAAAAATTCTACTTTGTGAGCTACTGGCATTAAAGCTGTGAGCAAGCGATTTGGCTAGTGGATAAATTAGTCTGCTCTGGAGCCATCCTTCCTGAGTTAAGACAGAAATGTGTGAGCCAGAGGCTAAAAACCTGTGAGCTAGCTCACACTAACTCATCTTAGAGGGAACACTGGTTGGGTTAGATGGCTGCTATGAAACCCTTCCCACAGGGACCAAAGAAAGGACCAGGCGTGTGAATGAGTGGAGCCTGACCTCCAAACCTACATCCTCGCTGGCTCAAATCCGTCTATAGCAGCAGGTGCTGTGGCACCGAGCCCTGGAGACAATCCGGCTGCTCGTGCATTGGTTACCTCCCCATCTGACACTGCTTCTGTCAAACTTCCAGGATCATCCCACTCGCTGGTGGTTACGTAAGCCCGAGCAAGCTGCAGCTGCCCAGAAACATCCCAGTGGATAGGAAATGGAGGCAGTGATAAATTTTGCCAATCCATTTTTACACGCTTAGGTCAGGTTTTGCATTGGCCACAGCTACAAAGCAGATGGGAAATGTACAACAGCACATGTTGATCTTAAGGTACTTTTCTTTCATAAGTGCATTAGTAAAGCGCCCCAGCTTAAAGAGTGTTCTCCGCACCATGTGGGGGTGCGGGGCTGGGGGTGCTTTCAGGGAGGACTGGTGGGCAAGAGGAAGGGGGTGCTTGCCTGGCCATTCCCTCACATCCCAGGCACGTGTGCAGGTTGCCTGTGCTTGCAGAGATACCAAGAACTCCCTGCCCACTTCCAGCAGTTGACAAATGTAGCGTGTGCTGTGTGGAAAATGTGTGAAATGTTCTGCATGTGCTCAAAAGCACTACTATTTTTATTTCATATGTTCCTGGGCTGTGCCTCGGCATTGAAAATGTGGAAGCTGGTTTTCTCAGGAATGGTGATCAACGTGCACGCTCTGAGATCTTTTTGTGGTCACACTTCCCTCTGTGAGTTATAAAGAAGCTTCCTTCACCCCTTCATCCCCCACATCTATGCAAGCCACAAATTCCTTGCTTCTCACTCGCCCTGATTCTCTGGAAGCTTTGCTCCCCTCACCCTCATGTTGAATTTCTAAACTTAAAAGCTATCCTGTGGTTCTAGACATGCGGGGTTGTGGGTTGTTGTTTTTTTTGCTATTTATGGTTACTCAGTGGTGATGGACCATCCCTCTTTCTTTTGTTAGGACTTCATAGGCTCAAAAGCTTAGCCCCATTTTGGATCGGGGGATCTGCTGCCTCCCCACTCATCTGCTGAGCCATCTCTGCAGATGGCTTCTCCAAAAAGCTCCCCTCCACCCACTTCTAATAATGAGTGATGCAAGCAGTAAATGAAAGAGGAGCAAGCCAGTGCAGAAGAGGGGGGGGGGGAGAATGCTGCTTTGTGGCTGGTGGTTTCACCAGGGATGCTCTGGCGCTTAATCATAGGGAGGGAGGAGGAACCCACAGCTCTGTATAACATAGGATGAGCTCATTCGAGCTGAAAACAGGCAAAAAGGAGGAACGGAGGGAGGGAGGGGTAGCATGAAGGGAGACCTTGCGGTGCAGACAGCTACGAAGGGGAAGCTCCGGTGAGCATTGGTGGAGGTTTGCATGCATGTGGATGTGTGTGTTTCTTTATTTGTCTTATTTGCATACTGCTGTCCTGAGACTAATTGCTCCAAGCAGCATCAGCAATTTAAAAGCAAAAAACACAACAGCATGCAGTAATAAAACAAGCAGGCACAAAACTGTACCTTGCCATTGTACTATGCCTTGTGATTTCTTCTCCAGCGATAACTATTCCCCCTCCCCATCTTTTCTTCCCACATGTAGCACAAAGATGATGGGAGGGGTGGCTGCAAGCCACTTTTTCACCCGTAGATGGCAGTCAAGGGAGAGGCAAAGATCATCCTCCCCCTTTAAAAAAATTGCCTCCATTGGCAGGTTTGCAAAAAGACCCCCCCCCTTAAGTGCCTATGATAGCCACTGTATCCCATCACACACACCCCTTCTCCAAGCACATCTGGCCCAGTTTGGTATAGTCTGTCTGATCCCCCACCCCACCCACACCCCATTGGTAAGGTTACTGGCTCAAAAGGGAAAGGGTTCTGGGCCTTCTCTCAGCTGCCTTCCTTTGGATATCTCTGGTGGAAACAACAAAATAAATAATTCAATGAGGCGAGAAAGACTGTTCTTCCACCAGGAGTTCCACTATAGCTTATTTACCTCCAAGCCATGTAAAAGCTTCAAATGCCCATTTCTGCACAGCAGCTTACATCATTCACCCCTTCTCCATTTTTTATCCTCACAACAACCCTGTGAGGTAGGTTAGACAAAAAGTATGTGACTGGCCCTAGATCACCCAGCAAGCTTCCATGGCATGAGTGGGGATTTGAACCTGGGTTTCCCAGAATCTAGCACAACACTTTAACCACTACACCACATTGGATGTAGGACATTTTTTTCTCCTCTAGATCTGTTGGCAGCCCTAGTGTGGCATAGTGGTTAGAGTGTCGTATCAGGATCTGGGGGACTCAGAATCAAATCCCCCCCTCTGCCATGGAAACCTGCTGGGTGACCTTGGGCCAGTCACTCTCTTCACAGGGTTGATGTTGTGGAGATAAAATGGAGGAGGGCGGAATGATGTTGTAAGCTACTTTGGGTCCTGCAGTGGAATACACATGTGGGCAGTCATCCATGCTTGCAATCTTATTGCTGCTTTACAATTTAAGAAAAGATGCTCTCAAGGGCAACTTCAATCGACACAGTCACGTGTACTTGTTAGAGTGCTGAACTAGGACCATGGAGAGTTTAGAGTGTTGGACTCACTCTCATCACTTCCTCTCAGTCTTACCTACCTCACAGGGTTGTTATGTGTATAAAATGAGGAAGGGAAAACCATACAGGCCACCCTGAGCTCACAGGAGGAAGGGAAGGATAAAAATGTAACAGACAGATAATTACTTGGCTGCCATGTGCCATGGCTGAACAGTGGTATTTAAATCTAGAATCCCCCCCCCCCCTCCGGAAGTGAATTGCTCTAAGTTTTGAGCCCAATTAACTGCTGGTGAAAATGATATACACTTTTTGCCACTGCTTCCTTATAGAGAAGTAGCTTTCTGTTAAAAGGACCACACACATAAAATGTGAAGTTGGTTGAAGCTGAACAGATTTTCATGTGTGCAAATGAGCAGTAGAGAGGAACCTGGCAGGAACAGAGAGAAGCCTAAGAAGCAGAATGGGTGAGAACCAACCCAGGGTGTGCCTGTTGCCACTGGGAACCAAAGGAAGCACTTTCTGTTAAGGGAGCAAGTTCCAGAGAACTGCTACTAATTGGACTGCAGGTTTTGGCATTATCTGATTAGAAGGAGCTCCTTAGCAGGAATAGTTTCACACCCCATAAAAATAAGACACCTGCCCCTCCCCAGTAAAATTCTGCACTCAGGCAATCCAGATTCTGCAACAAAAGAACTAAGCATGCAAATAAAGCTAAGGGCCCACATTTACACACACACCTTGATTTTTACATAGTTTTTTCTTGCTCAGCTAATCCTAGGGAGGGTTAAGGAGTTCTGCAGGGCAAGGAGACCACACCCCTTCTGGCTTCTGAGATTACCCACCCATTAGTTTCAAACCTCTCTAGGGTCATAAAGGCTATTTTAAGGGGGGGGGGAGTAAAAAGTGAGAGCTGAGATTTTCACAAAGGTGAATTCTTTTGGGCACATTTAATATTGTCTGTGCCTGTCCTGCACTTGCTGCAGATGTCACAGATTCCGATCTCTTCCTGGTTATTATGTCTGTAGTATCAGTGGTGAGTTCATTGCAGGCTTGCAGAATGTCAGAGCACGAACTCTTTGGGGAAAGGGGAGCTAGACATCCCTCCCCCCAAAAAACCCCCAAGTGCCTATACTTAATGAAAATTTATAGGACTCTGACACTTTAGAATTGCATGGGCTACTTTAACCTATATTGCTTTCCATAATGATGTCACACAAGCATTTCCCTTACATACAACTAAAGCCTTGATGCCCCCCCAAATTAATTTTTATTGCATTGGAAGAAACAAAATAATTCTTTTGAACAATATAGGATGAGTTATTATACAAATGTTAATGAATAATTAATTATGGTTATAATTTCTCAGAGATTTTGTTGGGCAGAAAATTGAGAAATGCAATCATACCCCACCCCAATACCCAATTGGTAAGAGAAAAAACAGAAAAAGGGCTGTGGGGGTAGGGGTAGAGGACTTTGTGAAAGAAAGAAAAGACTCCATGAGGAACGGGCACCCAATTCATCACCTGCACATGGCGAGAACAAGAAGGCAAGAGAATGAGACAATAAGCTTCAGTTCAGGCTTCAGTTGATAGATGGATGAATGGATAGACGGATGAATAATCTTTGATAAAAAGTGAGGAGGATGGGAGAAAAGACAGGAAATAATGTAGGAAACAGGAATAACTTTATAACCATGTGTTTTGAGAAAATGATATGTGAACAGATCAAAAGGTGGGGGAAAACTCCATGCTGGCCCCCAAAACTAAAGAGACATCAGTGATTCCAGGGGTGTGCCCCTCCCCATACTTAGCGTCTCCAATGTGCCCCTCCTGCTTTTGAGGGTCTAGCACTTCATCTGCTCCCAGAGGAGGCAACTTCTACAATAGGCAAAAAGAGCAGGATGATTTCCTTTTTGAAAGTTTCCCCTACTTCTCTGGTCCTTCCCAGCCCCAGCTGCTTATGGGGTAGCACCTCACCTTGTGGCTCTTGCTACTCACCCCCTTGCAAGCCCAGTTCGTGGTCCAGCCGCTCCCAACCTCACACTCGCCTCCTTCCAGGGAGAGATGCTAAAAGATGCACTTAGCATCAGCCAGGCTGCCAAGCTCTCACCATGACATCATTTCTGAGCCAGCTGATTGGCTGTGCTCAAAAAGCCTGCTGATTGGGCAGCATCTTCTCGGGTAGAAGGAATTGCCTGAGTAACTCCTTGGCTAGCCTGGTGGGCAGGGGATGATGTCACACAAAAGATGCTATTTTCAAGGATGAGTCTTCAGATGCGGAAGGGAACACAGCAAGCATCCCGGCATCAGAGGACAGGGAGGGATGCTCCAGAGGCAATCGAGACGGCCCACAGAGGTCTAGCCGGGACGAATAAAACCCATTCTGCCCACTGCAAACTAGCACCTGTTATCAGCCAAGGGGATGAAGGAATTATGTTCTTGGGCAGAAAACAATATTTTCACAGGAATAATGTCCTAGGAAGAATACTTTTTGCAGGGGTGGTGGCAGAATGTCAGGATTTAGACATCTTTTTTTTATTATTATTTGCTCTGTTTCAATAGCCAGGATCCAGCTGGAAGCTCCTGAGGGTTTCAGGCAGAGTGTAGGCTTCCCTAGCTCTCAATATGAGCACACATAAAGCTGTCTTGTACCAAAACCAAACCATAGGTCTGTCAAGGTCAGCACAGTCTACTCAGACTGGCCATGGTTCTCCCTGGGTCTCAGGCAGAAGTCTTGCTTACCATCTTCCATCTGATCCTTGTTTAGCTGGAGATGTCAGGGACTGAATTTGGGACCTCCTGCATGCCCTGCAGATCCTACACCACTGAGCCACTCCCCTCCCCTAACCCGATCCTTTTAACTGGAGATGCAAGAATTGGGGGGGGGGGGGCTTTCTGCCTGCCAAGCAAGTCCTTTTCCACTGTAGCACAGCCTCTCCCCAACTAAGGTGTAGCCCCTCTTTTCCTCAGGTGTGGTCTTGCCTGGAAAGTGAACCTGGAACCTCTCACACTCAACTGAAGAACCAGACCCCAAGGAAAAAAATAAAACCAACCAGACCAATAGACTTGTGTTGGCTTCCCAAGACTATAATATTAGAGTAGTAACACTGGCAGCTGCCTATCTCACGCAGCTTCTGTAAGATTTATTGAGATAATATATGAAGTATGTTTCATGCTTGGCACACATTACATAAAATGCTATTATTACTATTAAACAAAGGTTTGATGAATGTTGATGCTTACCAATAAGATATTTTTGGAAGCAAATGCCAAAAAACACTTGCCATGTTTTAGTAAACTTTTTTTGGTGGCATTTACTCATGAATATCAATTTACCTTTAGTAAAGGTTTCCCTTGCTAGAAAGCCAGTCAAATCCAACTCTAGGGGGCAGTGCTCATCTCTGTTTCCAAGCCAAAGAGCCAGCGCTGTCCGAAGACTTCTCTGTGGTCATGTGGCTGGCATGACTAAATGCTGAAGCGCACAGAATGCTGTTACCTGACATGGGCATGGATGAGGATGAGCCGACAGAGCCTGGAGAAACCACAGCTGGCCCCTCTGAAGCAGCAGAGGAGGAGGATAGCTGGCAAGTGCCTGTAACAGCAGTCTTCACACCTGGCCCAGATAAGAAGGAAGAACTGCAAGCTGAAAGTCCTCCTGACTCACCCCCATATGTGACTTGTTTAAAGGAGCAACTGCGGGAAAACTTAGCAACCAGGCGAAGAGAGGCCAGGCTACAAGGGAGATGCTCAGCCAACCCAGAGTTCTAATAGGAGCCTGGCTGATCGTGCAGCTGGCTAATTGGTAGCAGCATTTAACTCCACAGTCTGGGCAGTGCTCTTCGTGGAAGCAACAAGTCAGCTTCAATCTGCTAGCATCCACTCTGGCTCAGCTCTTACACCTAGACCGTTGGACTTGGCTCTGTGTTCTTTGTTCCTGACTACGTTTCTGGTTAGTGATTTGGACTTGGCTCTTTGTTTCTGCCTCCTGACCCCAGCTTGGCTTTTTGGACTTTGCACTATCTCATTGCTACAGGAAGACGGTCAAGCCTTAACAAGGGATGAAGACAAAGTGGAATTACTCAACTCTCACTTTGCGTCAGTCTTTAACCGTAAGGTGAGCTGTATGCAAACTGAAGAATGCAGGGCATATGAAGGAAGGAGAAACTGCCAGTCCAGAGTAAGTAAGGAAATGGTTAGAGAGCATCTAGCTGCCTTAAATACTTTCAAATCTCCAGGGCCGGGTGGCTTGCATCCCAGGGTGCTAAAAGAAATTGCAGGTGTTATTACAGAACCTCTGGCTCTAATCTTTGAGATGTCCGGGAGTACTGGTGTTGTGCCGGAGGATGGGAAAAGAGCAAATGTTTTCCCAATCTTCAGGAAGGGAAAAAAGACAGACCTGGGAAATTACAGGTCTGTCAGCTTGACATCAATACCTGGGAAAATTCTAGAGCAGATTATTAAACGCTCTGTCTGTGAGCACCTTGAACAGAATGAGTTAATTGGTAGTAGCCAGCATGGGTTTATCAAGAATAAGTCATGCCAGACCAACCTTATCTGCTTTTTTGACAGAGTTACCAAAATGGTTGACTCTGGCAATGCTGTGGATATAGTGTATCTAGATTTCAGTAAAGCATTTGACAAAGTTTCTCATGATATCCTTGAGGATACGCTGGTTAAGTGTGGGCTGGATGATGCAACCGTTGGATGGATTCATGGTTGGTTGAAAAACCGTACCCAACGAGTGCTCATAAATGGCTCTGCGTCTACGTGGAAGGAAGTCTCGAGTGGAGTACCACAGGGCTCGGTCCTAGGCCCAGTGTTGTTCAATGTTTTTATAAATGACATGGAGGAAGACATAGAGGGGATGCTTATGAAATTTGCAGATGACACAAAGCTAGGTGGGATTGCTAATTCTGAAGAAGACAGAGTCTTGATTCAAAATGATCTAGATAGGCTGGAACAGTGGGCTGAGACAAATAAAATGAATTTCAATAGAGATAAGTTCAAAGTCCTACACTTAGGTACAAACAATCAAAGGCACAGATATAGAATGGGAGGGACTTGGCTTGACAACAGCATATGTGAAAGGGATCTAGGTGTTCTGGTTGATCACAAGCTAAACATGAGCCTGCAGTGCGATGTGGCTGTGAAGAAAGCTAATGCAGTCTTAGGATGCATTAACAGAAGCTTTGTGTCCAGATCAAGGGAGGTGGTAGTTCCGCTCTATTCTGCTATGGTCAGGCCTCACCTGGAGTACTGTGTCCAGTTTTGGGCACCACAGTTTAGGAAGGATGTTGACAAGCTCGAGCGTGTCCAGAAGAGGGCAACCAGGATGGTGAGAGGGTTGGAATCCAAGTCTTATGAGGAAAGGCTGAAAGAGTTGGGTATGTTTAGCCTGGGAAAGAGAAGGCTTAGAGGGGACATGATTGCAGTCTTCAAGTATTTGAAGGGCTGTCATGTAGAAAATGGAGCGGATCTATTCTCTTTTGCTCCGGATTGCAAGACTAGGGGTGATTTCCCACAAGCGCTGCTCCGCGCTCACTCTTCTCTTTGGCCCGATGGTATGTGTCAATTTCACACGAGCTGCTGCGCGACCGCATTTTGCCCCACAGCTTCGTGCAATTTTCCCCGCATCTACTCAATCCTGTTTTTTGAGGACTGAGTAGACACGGGGAAAATCGCACGAAGCTGCGGGGCAAAATGTGGCCGCGCAGCAGCTTGTATGAAATTGACACGTACCATCGGGGCAAAAGGGAGGAGTGAGCGTGGAGCAGTGCTTGTGGGAAATCACCCTAGATCTAATGGGTGGAAATTACAAGGGAGGTGTTACCGGCTAAATATCAGGAGAAACTTCCTAACTGTAAGAGTGGTTGAGCAGTGGAACAGATTGCCTCGGGAGGTGGTGGATGCTCCTTCGCTGGACGTTTTCAAGTGGAGGCTGGACGACCATCTTTCGGGTATGTTGTAGGTATGTAGGGCTATCTTTCAGCTATGCTTCTGCAGAGTGCAGGGGGTTGGACTAGATGACCTGCAAGATCCCTTCCAACTCTAACATTCTATGATTCTATGATTTTTGGCTCCTGAACTTGGGCTGTTCTGGACTCCCTTTGACTGGCCCCCCAGCCCGTGACATTACCTTCCTACCAAAGCGATAACCTATTTATCTACTTGCAATTTCTTGCTTTTGTACTGCAAGGTTGGCAGGAGCTGGAACCAGAGACGGGAGCTCATTCCATCATGCAGCACTCTGGCCTCAAACTACTGAACTACCAACCTTCCGGCCTGCAGTTCAGCATCTTAACCACTGAGCCACCGCAGCCCTCTAATAGCCCGTTGCCTGATGAGCCACTGGGATGCAGCCTTGAGCCGGGGGGGTGGGGGGTGGGGTGGAGATAGACCATTTCCACACTAGTGAAATTCCCTGAGTTGATGTTTTAAAAACTGCACGTTATGTGACGTTTTCCGCAGTAGATTTTTCCTCACCAGGCCCAAACCCAAAGTTTTCTCCCTCTTACCCCACATTTTTGGAACTCACTAAAACTCAAGTGATGGAAACCTCATTCCCCCACAGTCTGAGGCCTGCGATAGGGTACACAAGTTGTCCCCTACTGGCAAGCATCTGCCAGACCTGGGCAGGTCTTCTACCTATAATAACCAGTAAATTTATTCAAAGAAATCAGTGGCAAAGCTTTAAAAAAACACACAATTGTTTTAGATTTGTCGAAACTTCCAAATCTCACCAGTCAAAATTTGAATATGAAATTTTATCTGGCAGTCTCAGTGCTTCACACTTGTTGGCATCTCTGGGTAGTTGTGACAGGCAGCAAATATAAGGCTTCACAGCTGAAAACTCCCCAAAATTGGCCCAGACTAAAGGACAAACTAGATATGATCCCTGTAATGTACTGGGTCCAGATGCGTTGTTACTGAATCAGCTCATAGTTTATGAAAGCAGGAGAAAACTGGGATGCTGTAGCAGGACCCAGAGCCTGCTTAAATGCCAGTTCCCTGCCACACCCAACACACACACCCATACCCGTGATTGGTTTATT